ACCTTTTAAAGTTCATTGCGAAGAAAAGCCTTGCGCCCGCATGACAAATTTAAGGAACATTTTTAAAAACTATTAATTATTTATAATTATTCTAACAATTAGAAGTACCATGAACTGTATAATATTAGAAATATTTAACTGTGTCGTTGCCGAACCCAATGCCGTATGAAAAATACGGAAGCTGCGTACTGTGGTGAGGTCCCCGGTGAAGCTTAGCCATCTGCCCCTCATGGTGTTGCAACTATCGAACATTTTGCCGTCTCGGTCGTCGCCTGGGTTACCAAGGGCCGCACAAGCTGTTGGAGGGACAGAGGCAAGCTGCGAAAAGTCAGCGATCAGACCTGCTTATCGCCTTCTGCCACCCGGGGGCGTAGCAGCACAGCAGCGGCTGCCGAAGATCAACCGAACGACGAAGATTTACCAATCAGCAATGGTGTCGCTACCCGTTCTTAACGGATGAGGCAGGCAGCACAATGCTATTATGGCACATCAGAAGACGCTTCAAGAGAACGACACCGCCAGTGGGAACTTACAGTCAAAAATTGGAATATATCATCGCTCAGAGGGAAGGAGCAACAGTTAGTTGATGAATCCATAAGGTATCAACGCGACATAGTTGGAATCACGTCTACAAAGAGCCAAGGTTCTGGATTTTCGAACTTCGTCGGGAGGAAGCTATACCATTTAGGTGTCGATATCATGACGTGCCCTCATGCCGGTGTCGGCGTTCTGGCAGAACTCAACATGGATGATAGAATCATTGAATAGAGGCCTGTTACTGCAAGAGTGGCAGTCATCCGACTGAGGCTACAGCGCCAAAGCGCTGTTACTTGGCTATGCGCCCAGTTTTTAGGGAGATTATGAGTCGTTGGAGGGTGCTCTGTACGATTGCAGTTCCTCATTCTAATGGGTGATTTTAATGTGCATGTCGAATTAGACACTGATAACTGGAAAGGCATGATAGAAAAGAACAACCCTAGCAACCTCAACAATAACTTCATGAACTTGCTTCGGTTTTCTGCAAACAACGAACTGTCTCTTATAAAAGCCTTAGGGCATTGAAGTGTACATCAGTATAGACAAGTGTGTAAACTGTTGTCCATGAAGAATTTGATAATAATATCGTCTGACTCTCTGTTATGTGTGTTCATGTTAAGAGAGACGCAGTGTTGTCAACCAGTCACCACTTTGTTGCTGGCGCGCTGTATGAAATGGAATACCATACGAAGATCTAATGGCAGAAGAAACCAGGGAATTAAATGGGAAGCCTTATCTTAGGCGGAAACGAGAGCGAAATTTGCAAACACGTCGCACGACGGTTTGAACAGATCTCGGTGATGACCACTGATGTGGTGTTCTGTTTGTGGCAGCTCTTTCAGAGCGGCTTACTCGGCGTTGCCATCAAATACTGCGGATTGAAACGGGTTGGTCTGTCGCCTTGAGGTCAGAAAAGGACTTCCCGATGGGCAGGAAACGCAGAGTTGGTAGCTAAGGAGAAGAAAGGCTGGATTCAAAAAATCGCTGGGAAACAAAGAGCATTTAATTCGCATGTATGTAGAGGTGCAGAAGTTGAGAATAAAAGCATTAGCGATAGCTGGCTTCTTAAAGAAGTTCGATGAGGTGTTGGAGTCGAATTTCTAGATGGCAAGCAAGGTGTTCTGGCAGATCTTTTGCTGGCTCTGAGATAAATAGAAGGGCAGTCTAAGACTGTTGAAGGACAGGTCTGGACATTTTACGAAGGATGAAGACATTCTTCAGCGATATAAAGAGTACATTGAGGAATTCTTTAATCCGGGGCAACTGTAGGAAGGTTCTCCTGAAGAGCAACAGGGAACGGATGTTAGTGTATCTGTAAATGAAATCACACAAGTTGTGAAAAGGCTTGGCAAGTGGAAAAGCTGCTGGAATTGACGAAGTTGTCCGTCCTGAAATATACGAAGACGAACAAGGCATTTGCTGGCTTTGATGTCTCTGTCAAACGGTAATGGCTACGAGGAAGACATCAGTGAACTCAAGAACCGTGATTATATTACTCCTTTTCAAGAAGGAAGACTGTAGCCAGTGTCCTTATTAGCGGAACATTACCTTATTGAACGTCGCGAATAAAGTCTGCGCTAAGGTGTCAGAAAGGAGGTGCCGCGCAATAATTGACTCCAAAATACACCAAGAGCAGTGTGAATTCCGGTCCGGCCGAAACACATTAGATGAGATATATGCCCTACGCCAGATTGTTAAGAAATCGTTGGAGCTCGTTCGTCCGGTTCACGAGCTTTGTGGACCTATCGTAAGCCTGTTGCCAGATCCCGCGCAACAATCTATGGGTATAACTGGGAACCAATGACCTGTTGCCGGCCGTCCAATCACTCTGCTGATAACAGGTGCTGCGTCAGAGTAAATGGCGTTAAGTCGAAAACTTTCAGTGTTGGTACTGGTTTCCGCGAAGTTTTCGTTCTATCTCTTCTCTTGTTTGTGTTTTACCATGATAGAGTAGTCAGGCGCCGCCTGGGCGATGAGTGTTTCAGCATAGGAGATGTAAAGGCGAGAAATTTGCTATTTGGAGACAACCTTGTTTTGGTGGCATCTTCTGAAACTGATCTGCCGTATCTATGGATAGATTTGTAAACGACCTTTCGACGTGGCCGGCACGTAGGTAAATGTGTTTGTAAGTAAAATCCTAGTGCTTTCTGATTCTCCTGCCCGTTAATCTCTGAATAAACGGAAAAGCCTTGGACCAGGTGGAGAAGGTCAAGTAACTTAAGGTCTTGTTAA